ATATATATATATATATATATATATATATATATATATATATATATAATTAATTAATAAGTATATAGCTATAATAAATATTAGTAATTGGTAACTTGATAAAAATAATAACTTACTTTAATTTCAGAGTTGATATAGGCATTGAGTGCATCAATCCTACATGCACATTGCCTAATGAGACCTCCAATTTTCAAGTATTGTTTCCATGGATGTCTATACTTAAATTGTCCATGCCCTGGCTCCCATTTTGCAAAATTAGCCTGAATAAATGTAAAAAAAAATAAAAAAAATACTTGAGTTAATTAGAAAAAAAATAATTATATATATGTTCAAGAAAATGAAAATAATAAGAATTACATACCAAAGTTTCTTCAGTATTCTTTGAATTGAGAACACTTTTATACTCTATCAAGGATGTTTTAGTAACCTTTGATTCTGTAATATCCTCTGATGATTTAAAAATCTCATCTCCAAATCCTGCAATTTTCATTAAAATATGTATATTATAAAGTTATAAAACAACATAATCGAATTCTAGTTATTATTATTTTGTTCAATAATCCTCACAGTTTATACTTCAGTGGTATCAATAAGAGTCTTTTTAAGATCTATCATCTCATTATGATCCATAATATCTATCTATTTAAAAGAGGTCGATTCTAATTCTAGTTATTATTATTTTATTCATCAATAATCCTCACGATTTATAGTTCAGTGGTATGAATAAGAGTCTTTTAAGACCTATCATTTCGTTATGATCCATAATATCTATCTATATATAAAATAAGCCTATTCTAATTCTAGTTATTATTATTTTATTCGATAATCCTCACGATTTATAGTTCAGTGGTATCAATAAAAGTCTTTTAAGATGTATCATTTCGTTATGATCCAAATATATAAAACCACATATAAAAGAGGATTCTAATTCTAATTATCATTATTTTATTCAATAATCCTCACGATTTATAGTTCAGCAGTATCAATAAAATTGAGTCTTTTAAGATGTATCATTTCGTCATGATCCATAATTATCTATAGACTATATAAAATATCATCAAAATAAATGGAATTATTTTTTTTACCTTCTAAGAACTTGCCAAGTTTTTCCATATTTTGTGCTACTAATTTATGTAGATCTTCACCAGCCCACACAGGGCAAACAACTATAGAAACAATAACACAAACAGAAGCACCCATGAATATTGTTGAGATTCTTTTATGTGCCATATCCACTATTTCATCAACTCTAAAACCAGATATTGACACTAAACAAAATGTTAATATTAAAATTAACATTCCATAATCATATCTGGCCTTCACTTGTGGAAAGAATCTTATGAAAGTTAATGCAAATGCTGCATGCACAAGAAAATAAAAATTGTCATGTTAGAAAAAAAAATATAAGAATTAACGACAGACAATTTCTATCGTTGAATAAAAAAAAATTCATCGTTTATGTTTGTTCAATATTAATATGATGGATTATCGAAAAATCATGTTGGTTACTATGGATTAATATTTAGTGACAAAATTTGTAGCTAATTCTTGTTTTATAGGTAGTAGTGCATGATGAAAAAGATACATATATATAAGAGATTAAGAATGGCATTGTCATGCATTTTTTTTATAAAAAAAACATGAATTAGCGACAGATGACTTCTATTTCTGAAAAGCAAGACTTTGTTGTTATTCCTATTTAAATATCATGAGATTAGCTATGAACTGTTTAGCGATAAATATATAGGAATTAAAAAAAGAATTATAACCTTGTAGAAAGACAAATAGACCAAGAAGTATTGGCTCCACAACTTTACCAGTTGCACTAGCCAAATAATGTGCACCAACCCCTAGTGCACCAGCTATCAAGGTTGCCATTCCCCTATTTAATCCTTTTCCAAGTGTAGCACCTACAAAAATAAAATAAAAATTATTTATTTAGTGACAATATAGTTTCAAATAGTATATATGACATGTGTATTTAAATGTATATCATCGTATAAATTGATACAGAAGGAGGAGGAGTGTATAACGTACCAACAGAAAATTCAAAGACGACTACCACAGTCATTATCGCCCACATCGTAGAAACACCAAAACCATTGTAAAGGGGTTGGAAATAGTAGAATAATGAAACTAAAGTGAGTGATAAACCAACTTTAAGTGAGTGAATCACTCTTCTTGGATCATCTTTAGCAATTGTCTTGAATTGCTTAGCAATTCCAACAATCTTAGTAAATATTTTTTCATGCAAAGACTTGAACCATAATAATCCCTTAGTGAAAAAATTACTTGGCTTTTCATCATTGTTCATAGAAGCAATCTCCATAGTAAAAATAAAAATAAATATTGGACCAAATTTTGCAAAAAAAAAAATGCAAAATAATCCAAAAATAGAATGTGAGAGACAAGTAAAAGACAGATAAGTTTATGGGATTGCTAATAAGACATGTTGTGTCTGATAGCCTCATATTTATAGAGAGAACAAAGGAATAATGGATGGTAGGGTGTGTACTATTCGGATTAAATCAAATAATCAAATTAAATTAAACCGAATTTTTATTCGGATTGATTTTTTGGTTTTTCAGATTGGTTTTGGATCAATAAATTGCTTTGTTTGGTTTTTTGGTTTGGTTTCGGATTTTAAAAAATAAAAACCAAAAAAATTGAATTATACATATATATATATATATATAAATAAAGTGTTTAGGTTTAGAATTAAATTACAGTTAACCACTTTTTGTCCCTTTTTGGTTATTGCCTTTACGTCTATATTTTAAGTTTGAACATCTCTAATAGGTATACTTATAAGTATTGTGTTTTAAGTATTACTTATGATTTATATTAGAAAGTATATTTAAGGGATTCAATATAGTTACTTTGGTTATGTTATTAATTATTGACATAACTGAATAACCAAATCGAAAAAAGCCAAACCGCATAGAGAAAATCAAACCAAACCAAATTTATTTTGGATCGGATTGGGTTACACTTTTATAAAACCAAAAATCGAAAAATTCAAACCGAATAGTGCAAAACCAAACCGAAAAACCGAATGCACACCCCGATGGTGACATAACAAGAAAATATTTTTAAAATATTGTAAAAAATTTATTTTATTTTTAAAGTGAATATTTTTAGGTGCTACTTTTCATGTACGATGGAAGTACAAGGAAAGTGCATAAAAAAGAGAGGTTGAAAATGATGAAGTGAATTTTATGTTTTTTTTTTTAACAAAAAAAGCTATAGTAAAATATATTTTAATTATCCATCTGTTATCCACACATTGAGAATAATGGGTCAAAAGTAAAGCTTTTTTTAGAATAGGGCAAACCATTTTTTGGGATCTTTTTAAGAACTTGTTAAAATTGGAATTGGTTGGCCATACAGCATTTTTTTTTAGGCTTCTCACCAAGTGTCTATGTTCACAGTATTTATTTCGGAGCTCCATTAATTTAAATTTGAGTCAAAAGATCTTACTTTACTTTGGATGTGAAATACTCACTAATTAAAAGGTAAGTTTATACTTAGATATCGAATTCGAGACCTTTTTTTTTATAATGATAAAGAAATACTTATCACTAGGAAAACATAAATCACTTAACTGAATTGAAATTTACTATATCGGACCAAATTTTAAAAATTCAGTATTTAATACTTATTTTCAATGATCGAAATTAAAATTTGAAAATATTGAACCAAATACTAAATGCCTACCCCTAATTATTTATTACTCCTATATATCTAACATGAGCTTTGATACATGTACTGATCATAGTGACCTAAGACAAAAAAAAAAAAAACTAGATATGCAAAGTATATCAACTATCAATTGTAGTTGATTTGTTTTCTTCTTTATATCCATGATAAGCCATCCCTACTTACCATTTCACCACAAATTTTGATAGTGGCCACACATCTTTTATTTATTTATTTTTTTCATTTTTATACGATGTCTAATACTGCTTCTAAGCCTAACTAAATCAAAGTCGTTCTGGAAAATCATATTTTAGGTGTAAGATACTCTTACCAAAAAAAAAAAATCATGTTCAAGATTCAAACTCGAAATCTCTAATTAAAATATAATGACCTGATTCGATTGTTATGAGTAAGCTAATAGTGAAAGTATTTGAGCCAGAAAACTTTTTCGGAGCTTGACCTTCTAAAGTTTCGTCAAGGCCGCTATAGTGGGAGGCATCCCGTTATAGCAGAGTGCAAGGCCGCTATAGTGGGAGGCATCCCGTTATAGCAGAGTGTGCAGACCACTATAGCGAGGTTAGCTTCTGTTATAGTGGCGCCGCTATAGTGGGCCGAATCGAATTTTAGTGCAGAAATAGCTCCATAGTTTCTATTTTCTGCACTTTGAGTTCTTGAACTTGGGAGGGGCGATTTTAGGCAGGTTGCACCAGTTTTCCCACAGAATTCATCGGTAAAGGTAAGAATTTGACTCCCCGACCTTTTGCATTGATTCTTAAACCTTAGAATCTAGGTTATAGATATTGTGTGTGTGGGGGGGGGGGGATTTTTGACATTATTCCATGGTGGGAAAGAGCCTTAAGTCGGGGAAGATGATCATATAGTGGCCGGGATTGAGATTTGTTAATAATTTGGTTAAATTAATAGGCAATTAGCGATTGATTGTTGTTTATATTATTTGTTTTAGACCAAGAACAAGCCAAGGCACTTTGCAAGAGAAAAGCTCGGGCCATTTGGAGTTTTCAAAAGATTTGATTCGAGGTAGGTGATGGTTAAATGTTTCTGGTTTATGTATGTATGGATGTAGGTATGTCTACTACTTTGAAGTATCATTCGTGCAATGCATGGTAGAGAGACATATGAAATGACATCATGTAGGTAATCTCATGCAATGAAGTTATGATTGTGACTTGTGGTTTTCAAGTGGTCTTGTTCATTGTACTATGTGATTGTGCATGAATGTTTGTGATTGTTGATTGGCTTGGAAACCAGGCTGATACACTAACTATGGATGACTCGATACCACATCATCACACTAACAACTTGGGTTTGGGTTCCATGAGAGGACTAGTCATTTGCATTGTGAGCATGTGGGGACCTGCAGTCAAGAATTGGTTGACCCAGGTATTTTGTTTCATGACATGTGACTGAGAGTCTATGTGGTTGCCAATTGTTGTAATGTTATGCATTGTTATGTGTTACCGTATTGTAGTGATCGTTTATATTTGTATCTTGGACTAGCCGCGTGATCCTACCAGTACACTGTGGTTCGTGTACTAATATTGCACATGTTCTTTTCCTTGTTGAGTACATGACATCTTTCAACGGTTGATCTGAAACCTCAATTGAGAGACGCCTGATTTCTGAATCCAAGGATGAGCTACATCTTTCTAGCTGCCATGGATTCTTCGGACACAGACACTAGTTTTAGCTTTATGATTAGTTTCAGGATTGCATCCCCAGTATGATTGTATTAAAAATTTTGTTATGATGACTTTCAGTTCTTAGGCATAATTCTGCATTGAATATTTTTAGACTATTGGGTTGAGTTTATGGGAACTCAATTCTTTAGTGACTAAAGTATTTTTCTTATTTTATATGATAGACTTGGTTTTGCTTAAATGATATTGAATTGGTTTCGAGTTAGTTTGGTTCTCCCACCAATTTGTTTTGTGTAGATATCACTCACAATGATCTGAATCGTAACATAAAAATAAAAAAAATACGTATTTACCACTTCACTACAAGATTTGACAGTGGTCATGTTAGCAATATTGGTTGTGATGATTGTACTATCATCAAGTTGATAACTTCTCTTCTTCTTCTTTTTTCCAAGTGTTGTTATGAACTGTTATGCATTTGATATAAATATTTTTCAGATGCGTTATTCATGGCTTTATAGTTTTAGTTGGAACAGTTGCATTAATTTTCTTGGTATCTTGACTGTTCATATATAGTGGTAGATGACTAGTTATTTACTTGAAGTTAAATCCAAAAAGAAAAGGTAAAATATATTGAGACTATTTTGGAAACTTAAATATCTTTCAATAGCCAAAAAAATATAGTAGATAAGACATATCTTGAAGATAATATTAGAGCACTCACGAATTTTGTGGTCACAAGTGCACTATTATTTAGGACACTCATAAAACTAGAGAAAAAAAATATTAAGATGTGTTATGATAAGTTATCTACGTCACATTTTATGTGGTGTGATTTCAATTCTTTCTTTGATTTTGTTAACGTGAGATATTTTGTACATATATCGCTCTAGTACTTATGATGACGCTTACGGTCTCTCACAAGAAGGCAAGCAAAACTTTGTTACAATGACAATAGTTACAATATTTCGATTATTATAATGAATATTCACTACAAAAATAAATTAAAATTAGCTACATAATTTTAAAATAATTTGTTGTCAATTTATTGTTTAGTAAGATTAATAACAAATTCTATTATTTAGCTATAGAATTTGTCCGTCATCAATTCCTACTTTGTTTGACCTAATTCATATATGTTTAATCTTTTTCAAATATACGAAAAGAGCTTCAAGAAAAAGGGCTTGTACTAGGTAAGTGATACTTTATTACTTCAAACGAATAGTGCTGCCTCACCCTTTTTAGCTAGGCTAAGAAGCTTATATTGAAACACTACTAATTAAAATTCGAGTTATCCATATTTTCGATAGAAATATATATTTTTTAGTAATTAATAAGAAAAATCAGGATTTTCGAAGATAAGTAAGGCAACGATTCTTTTATTCCACAAATTTAACTTACATAATCAAGCTTTTTTTTTTAAGATAAGCGGAAAATATTTTTTTTTTCACTAACTTAACTTAAATAAAATAGTTAAACCACATAGATATTTACATATTTTCTTGGCATGTACCTAATTTAATCCTAAATATCTTTTTATCTACCCTAGTTGATCATGAACAAATTTTATCTTTCCTAGTTCATGAACAAACTAAAATAACACATGTATCTTAATTAATTTCCTATACATGAATTAAGATAATTCATGTATCAAAAAATACTTTTTTCTTTTCCCAACATAGGATTCATTTTTCAACATGCAGGTTGGAAGTGTTGAGCAAAAAAAAATTCCAATGGGAAGTCATCGTTAATTTATTTTTATCTTTTTTTAAAAATACTGCAATAATATCGATCAGTATAATTTTACAAGTGAAATTTGAAAAAAATGAGGTGTATATAAATTAATCTTATTTATTTATAGTGTAGGGATGTTGATCTTGATAGATCCTTAACTTAAATAAATCATTTTTCAAAACATGTTTGAAAAAAATAAATTAAGAGTTAAAAACTATGACCGATGAGAACATTAAAGAAAGAAAAGTATTGTCAATAAAATAGTAAACGTAACCAAATTAAGT